TTACCAGCAACATTACCGTCCTGGGTTAACCCCGTTTTCTTCATTCTTATACTTATTTAAAATTAGGTTTTTATATCTTACTTTAAACTGTTTTATGTTTTTACTGTCTTTTATTTCTTCTGTTAGACTTCCATAATTTAACTCCTGCAATTAAGTGAATACGAAACAAGTGTTTCTGCCTGAGGAAACACATTTAAATGTAAATGTTGCTTCCCTGCGAGTGTGTTATATTGAGAATAACTGCAGCCAGTTTGAGGGGCTGCTGTCAGGCTGCCAGTCCTTAGATAACAGATCAGTTCACCTCTGTGCCAGCCATCAAGGAGTCTGCTGCCAACTCACTAATGTACAGTATGGCACATATCACTGTATTTAACACAGGAGATTGATGCTTCCTTTAGTGATGTTTTCCCTGAATGTCAAACTGCTAAACAGCTGGATGCTAAACATCATAAAAGGCTGTTTTTTCTGTAGCCCACAAATCAAAAGGGACAAATAAAGACACTATCAGACGTGTCAGACATGATCACAGAATGGAAGGAACCAATTTTTCCACTGTTTGGCTGTGCTTTGTAAAATTGCAGTGCACAGGGGGATGGGACTTTTTACTCTTGTTTTGTGCTGAGAAACTCATTTAGAGTAGTTAAGGTGGAACTGTTAATTTCCTGTGCATGACTCCTCAGTTTTACAGCCTTCTTACTATCAAAGAGCCGGCTGCTTCGAGTGAATGTGAAAATGCACTGATTTTTCTAAACACGTGTCAGATTGCTGCTCATGTGGAAAGGGTTTATAAATATGAGCATTTTCAAAAACCACTTGTTCACATTAGAAGAAAACGTAGCGTAGCTTATGAGGCAGTGGTGTTACTGGTCACATCAAACTCAACTTTAATTGGTTTTATGAACTGAGACCAGTCTGACAGCACTGACGTGAACTGTAGTGACAGATGTTCAGCCAAACTCACCTACTGTGTATATTAGGACACCAAATGTGTTTTCATCTTGGGCTGCAAACAGTCCCAAACAAAGTCATCATTCTTACTCATGCTGGGAGCGCAACAGCTGTGGTACCAAACAGACTAAATAAAGACTAAAGTGATTTCCTTTAAATAGAAAAAACTGAATATTTTTAAACCAGTCATGCTGCTCAGTCACATGAGGATCGTTAACAACCTAAATTGTGTAGGACAAAGCAACAAAGAGGCTATTGCTACTGAAATTGCATGAATGCTTGTTAGCAGCTAACATGGTTCAAAGGTTGCATAATACTCAAATTATAGCAACACTGCAGGGGCGTTTGGGAGCTTTGTAACTGCTGTATGCTATCCTGGGAAAAAGCTCCTCTCCACTGTGGAGCATCTATTCAGCTCTCTGACTACATGCATATTGTAGCTGCACAGAATGAGCTCCTCTTCATCTACACAACAAGACAGCTCTGCATCAGTACGTGTGA